GTCCACGAAATTATTGTATTGTTATATAATTATTTTCCTAAGGGAAATTAATGGTTAAATCAATCTTCAGAGGCAAGAAGCCAATACAATCATTTCATATAACTGAACATGTGTATACGACATACGTATATTATATGGTATCTAGTTAATTGTAATACAGCCATTCGGAGTATAACCAAAGAATATAACTTTCTCCAAAAWCCTTATACCACCGGGCACTGATAATAAAATTAAATAATTCCTCCTATAAGATAACATTTCAATCGTGCGGAATCTTTGTCGATTACGTACTTGAAGAAGTGCGTCGAAAGCTATTAAAAATTTAAAAATATTCTGCCATAATTATAGAATAAGTGTATTATTATTAATTGTTAACGAATTATCTAAAGAGTGTAAAAACCAAATTACATAATAGTTTAATTGTTCAAATGATCAAGTTGTTACAAAACATACAAATAATAATAAACAAACTCATTCATTCATTTTATTTCTTGATCTATGTAGAAAATTTAATTAAACCAAAATAAAAAATAAAAAATCCAAAATTTATTTTAAAGAAATATAAAAATCGAGTTATTTCTATACACATTATTATAAGTATTATTATATTATGTGTATGCTATATAGTTCGATATAATTTACCATTTATTTTGTATAATAATTTAGCCATATAGGTAATAGTATGTAAATTTTTTGGGTAGTGAACATGACTATTAATTCAAGTGAAATAAATGGTTCTTATCCTGTTTTATTCATTGTAAAATTATATCTAAATTTAAATTATTTTATGATTTTTAGAAATTAAATAATAATTAATAATAGCTATTGATAAAGCTTTTAGTTTAATATCTGCTTTACAAAACATAATAATTATGTAATTATTTATGTTGTAATCAGTAATCAATAATTATCAATCGCATTTAAAACAATAATATTCTGATATATGAACATTTAAATGTTTAACTTAATTTAAATATCGATATGATGAGTACTGTTACCATTACGTTAAGATTGTATGATCATTTATGACTAATTAAATGGCTATAATACCAACACGGATGAACTACAGTACTTATTCAACTACCTACTTAATAATTAATTTTTTTAACGTTAATATCGAAATAATACTGTGAGAAGTTAATAAATACGTTAGATGTCTCATAATCATTTTTATACAAATATTAAATCGATGATTTTTAGAAAAAAATGTTATCTTACAATTTGAAATATAAATCATTATTAATATTATAAAACCCATCATACACCCGTTATTTTTACACCGTTTCTGGTAATACCTAGCTTACTAGTTCTTATACTTTAGATCATTGGGTTAACGTATTTTGTAATAAATTTCGTAGAAAAAGCTGAACTTAAATCTATTGTATATTATAAAATAATTTCACTTGATAATGTCGACCATTTCCTACTACTGTTGATAATATATTAATTTATGCACTGTAAATGTATAATCAAGTGCCCAGATTCAATAAATATCTCTTTTACCAAGGATCAAAAGTACTTATTAGTTATTTTACATAAATTACAAATTAAGACATATAATGATATTTTCTACGCTTCGCTCAATAATAAATAACAACACATAAAAATAGTTAACTAATATAAATTTCAGTCTAGTTTTTTTTTTCTCTTGGTGTATTGTACAATTTATCGTTTTTGACATTAAAAAGCCAAAAACTTTATCTTTAGTGGTTTTGCATGTTTGGTCTTCAATTCGGGTCACTCGAACACGGGTGGTCTTTACTATACACTCTAAAAATTGAAAGTAGAATAATAGTTATAAAATATAAAATACAGGGTTATATTCTAACTTAGAGAAAAAAATAAAATAGTTTTTATTTATTGTGAAACTATGGAAACAAAATTAAAAAATAACGATCTGAAAGACTGAAAAACATACACCAAATAATGATCTTTACTAATATTTGAAAACTATAAATTTGATTGTTATGTATACCTAGTGTGAATTATATATAATTCCAAAAGAATTAATTATAAGATTTAGATTACTATTCCAGCGATATTTTTCCCAAATTACGAGTATTTATTTAACTATAGTGCATGTATGTCGTACCTTCCCATAGCAATGTTGTGTATGTACCTCCTAACAACTTAGGTTATGTACCTTTAATTTACTATAAAGGTGAGGTTATGGAAATGCTATTTACATAATTCATACTCTTGAATGGGCGATGCCCGTTTCCACCAAAAGTGTACCTTTCCCTTTTCCACCAATACTCGTTTCCATCAAAAGTATATATATCTTCCCTTTTCCACCAATATCCGTTTCCACCAAATAAAATTATTTACCACGTTTTTACAAAAACAATTTTATACTACTATATTCTACGATTGAAAAAAAAATATCAACCAATTATATATATTATTATATTATATATACTTATAAGTAGATACAATATAATATAGGTACATAACTAAATACACTAATATATCATTTTTTCAAYCCAGCATTAGTATTTTWAATAAACTTATTACTGTATTAAAGATTTTAATATAAGCATAGTATACAAATTATTTTAGTAAATTAACCGTGGTTTAATTATTGGTAGATCTCATTTGGTGGTAACGGATATTGGTGGAAAAGGGAAAGGTCTACTTTTGGTGGAAATGTGTTACACCTTCTTGAATACAGAATTTATACGGCATTATATATTTCTATAATTAATAAAGATTTAACTATCAATATAGGTATTAGGTACCTAATTGAATCGATGTATTATTATGCAATGTATGCACATTTTAGATTCTGAGCAGAGCGAGGAATGTATTGATTTTATCACGATGTGTGTGTGTTTTTTTGTGTGTCTGTCATCACGTTTTGGGGCAGTAAAAATGCTTCAACTTTCGACTTCAGTACCTCGTTCGATCAGGAAGTGAATCTAGTTGGTACTTTGAGGTGGTCAAAAGTAAAAGATTCTCAATATTTTTCTTAATAATTGTTATAAACAAACTAAAAATTAAGGAAAAAACGGGGAATTTTTACTCACAATMAATTTTTGACAAAATCGATTTTGGTTTTTGATGTAACTTGAAAATTTAATACAAGGCTCTTAACATATTATTACAATAGCTGTTGAAAAATAAAATAAATTCATAGTCACAATTCTTTTTTATAAGCATTCAAAGTTTGAATTTTGACAAAATACGTAAAAATCAAGAAAATTCAAAAATTATTTTTAAGCTAGAAATTCATAAAAAGATTTCCTTTTTAAATCTAAGATTTAGAAATTTAATACAAGATTCCTTACAAGGTTTTTCAATCTTTATCACAAATAAAAAGTCCACCAGAAATTCAAATTAAATTTTTATGAGCATTTGAAATTTAAATTTTTACAACATTGGATTTTCACTTTTAGCGATTTCCTTATTTTGGTGTAACTCTAAAACAAATTACCGCAGATACTTGAAATTTTGACTGAATGTTTATATAGGCATTTTATATATTTGATAAAATGTTCAAAATATTTAGATATGTTTTGAGCTTTTTACTGACATTTTAATTTTAAATGGCTATTAAAAGGCTCCTAACATATTTTTACAATAGCAGATGAAAAATAAAAGAAATATATAGTCACAATTTTTTTTTATAAGCATTCAAAGTTTGAATTTTGACAAAATACGTAAAAATCAAGAAAATTCAAAAATTATTTTTAAGCTAGAAATTCATAAAAAGATTTCCTTTTTAAATCTAAGATTTGAAATTTTTTAATAATCTATAATATTATATTCTAGACAAATGAACCGTCTTCGCTCAAAATCGTTTTTCGTATACAATGATATAATATCATTGGATTCAAATTTAATTCCATCCATTACAGTAACCCACTTGTAACCTACTGTACCACAGAGCGACATCCACGACTTACCCGCCTTTTTTTAAATTAAAATCGATAAAAATTTATTTATTGGGTAGAAAAGCTTGTCAATTTAATACCTAACATATTTTTACAATAGCAATTGAAAAATAAAAATAAAATATAGTCACGATTTTTTTTTATAAGCATTCAAAGTTTGAATTTTTACAACATACGTAAAAATCACAAGGCTTCATAAATCTAAGATTTGAAAATGTAATACAAGATTCCTTACAAGTTTGTCAATCTTTATCACAAAAAAAAAATGTCCACCAGAAATTCAAATTAAATTTTTATGACAGTTTGAAATTTAAATTTTTACAACATTGGATTTTCACTAGATTTATCATTTAGCGATTTTCTTATTTTGGCGTAACTCTAAAACAAATGACCGCAGATACTTGAAATTTTCACTGAATGTTTATATATTATATTCTAGACAGATAAACCGTCTTCGCTCGAAATCGTTTTTCGTATACAATAATATAATATCATTGGATTCAAATTTAATTCTATCCATTACAGTAACCCACTTGCAACCTACTGTACAGTAGAGCACTAGAGCGACGTCCACGACTTACACGCTTTTTTAATATTATAACTGATTGTGTTTCAATTTTAACTCTTATAGCAATATATTTTTATTTAAAGATTTTGAAATTTGTGATAAATATTAACTTTACTTGACCTAAAAGATTCCGAAATATTATCTAGAAAATACGAATAATATTCATTGATTAAATTATTTCAGAATACCATACTTCATGAATTAGTCGAATAAATATATCCTTCCTATTTGTTATGCTATCAAGTCACACTCTACACATCTGCACATATATTAGTGTTGATGTAACTTAAATTAAACTGTTGATACTTGTCTTCAAAGTTGAACTTAAGGTTAAATAGTACCTATATACATTACATATTGTATAAAATAGTCACTTTTGCAATTTATTAGATGTATATTGGGGTGCAATAAAAACATAATCGTTTTACGTTTATACAATTTCAACAATTGGAAAACCTTTTAATATTTTAAAAATCATCAAAATAACCTTTTGCAGTCAACGCGTATTAATCAAACTGTTTCTTTTGTTTTTTTTTCAGATCGTTCGCGATGCACAAAAATTGGCCATGAGAATGAACCATCGAGGCGCATGCTCATGCGATAACGATTCCGGTGACGGAGCGGGTGTACTGACAGCTATACCACATTCGTTTTACGCCCACGAGCTAAGGTTTAACATTTATTTTTTAATCTTACACCAAGCTATCGGAAAATAGAATAGACATTTTTTTTCCAATTGAATTCCATATCACTCCGCGTATTTACTGAGGTGAAGTTGCCATGGCTATAAAAAATAAATAGATCTGAGTGATCTGACTGACTAGTTAACAATAAATAATCATGTGATGATACATCTAAGACTTAAATACTATGTAAATCCATTCTATAAAATAGGTAGTATTAAAAAAAAGTATTTCGAACAACTACTTAGAAAAATCGATGCTCTCTTAAAGGATTAATTATTTTATAAATATATACCATATACCTACGATATTATACTTATTACTTACACTTTAATTTCAATTTTATGAAAAAAAAAATTTTTAATTTAAAATACATAGTATTTCAAACTATTATGTAACGGTAATAATGGCGTCTTACATATTCATAATTGAATAATTATTTATTATTATTATTATGTACTTATATCTTATATGTGTATAATCACCAGCATTTGACACATTATTTTGCGATTATAAACTATAAGTATTAAAAAATCTAAAGACAGAATCGATCACAGTTTTTCTCCATGTTGTGTTTGTTACTTTTATTTTGGGCTCGTTCCTGCGTAAAAAAATACATCCATTTGAAAATAATTAATAAATTCACATGCCTAATACTTCCATATACATATTACATTTTTATAAGCGTTATTTTTTTTCAATCATTATGGAAACACTTAACCCCTTTTGCTTATAGTTGGAAATAAGTAGATAACGTCTATTTTTATAAATGTCTAACTGTATGTTAAATATCAACAATACTGAATCCTATAAAATGGGTTGTCTATCACATTTCGTAGTTTTATTTATATCATAGGTGATTAAGATAATTCTATACAGACCTATACAGAACCTATACAGAAAGTAATGCCTTTAATATCTTTCCTTCTCTAAGTTCTTACGCACATAGATGATTTTTTTCTTAAAGAAATTTATATCTTCATAATAAGTATCTATATTAACCGTTTACGTTTTTATGTGAGAATTTTTAATTTACGGTAAAGCATGATTAAGGATGTACCTTTTTAGCTAGACGATTGAACATGGAATCTTTTATGTGATGATGCCACATTTACGTAGCCGACATTTTGTAATTTATTATTTTCTCGTTTTATTACACCAATTATTTTGATATCAGACGTGAGCCATGAACCGAGCCCAAATTTATCGACTTATTTGCATAAGCATAACTATTATTATTATTATCAAACAGATATATATATATATATTTATACTATTATAATGTGACTATATTATTGACTTTGAAATCGTCTTATTTTTTGACATATTATATTTTAAATTATTATAATTATTTAAACAAATATTTTTGTATAATACAGTTCTAAATCGAAAATGGCAACGTTGCAGAGTTTTTTATCCTCAATTCGTGTAAGTTTTCTTTTGTATTTCGATTTCTGTTGATACTCCAACAATTTTTCTCAACTGTGTCTCAAAAAAGGTGTTTTGTACTCAATAGTGTCTCAGCCATAATTAAACTWTAAAGCCGATTTTATGGTAATATCTTATAATGAAAATCTATATTTTAATAACCATATTGTCAGTGGTCTACCACCATAGATCGTACGCCAGGTACCTTAATAATTTTTGATGTAGATTATTTTTCTCACCCAAATTATTACGTCTCAGCAATACTTTTCAATTTCAGAATAAAATTAAGTTCCCATCCATTTTTAAAACTACTTACCAAAGCACAAACAATTTAACAATATTGATGGACTATCTGAAACTATCAATAATATTTCTTTGATAATATTGACTCAGGACAAATACCTATAATCGAATTATCCAACCTTTACCAATCAACAATCAATATAATATGTAACGACCCTTTTAGATACTTAATACATTAAACCATATTAATCTATAATTGTATTAAATTAAAAAACATTAACACTATAATATGAACTCTTATAATCTGTCTCTAGTTATTAAATATATTTAAAGTGATATGGAACTGMTTACATATTTTTTTATTGACTAAAATGAATGGTTTTTATTCATGTAGCTTTAGGGGTAGGTACCTACTTTTAAAGTAAATTTGATAGTTTTTACTATTATACCTATATATACACAATTCTTATGTATATAATATATTATTGGAAAATCTATGAAACGTCTGTTTGATCCTTTTTACTTTTCTATAAACAATTATTAAAATGAATGATAAATATATTATTGAATTGTTTGATTTCCTTACTTTTATGAAATATGACTATATAATACAGTTATATTAAATTTTTARATTTTTCACAATTTCAATACAAATTTCAAGTGAAAAAATACTCAAATACAAAAATAAATCTATCTTAAAATGTGTGTTTGAAAAATAAGTTTACTTGTCAATATCAAACATACTACACTCAGAATCTAGAAAATAAATATGAAACAACAAAATACAGGTTAATGTGTACATGTTTCATTATTTATTTAACACTGCATTTTCAACTTTTAAGTTTGTTCAAATTAATATAATATGCAAGTTAAAACTCTCAATTTTCGTACATTATTTTAAATGCGGTTATTCAGATAAGTTCTTTAACATGTTATATAATATTTTAAAAGTATCAAATTATATGTGAAATAATAACTTAAGAAAACTTTTATAATAGAATTGTATACGGACACTTTTGTGATGTCTTTTAATTGATTAGCATACCACGGACATTTGGTTTGGTAAAAATAAATTGGGAAAATATATTTTACTAGATAAGATAAAGTTAAATGGCTGATAACTTTATATCTCAACCTTAGTTCACAACCGTTATTGTAATCAGTATTAGTTTGGTGACGTATGGCAGTAGACATTATAGCCTTTAATATACACTATGAACCAAACTACGAAGTTATACCAAACAAATTTTTTAAATGGGTATTATATTACTCGAAAATATTCGATACAATTTATTGGACATTTTCCAACAAATACATAATGAATATAACGTATAATATATCATAACTACTGTCATCATAAATAATTTCATTTAATCATTAATTTCGAAACGCCTATGGTGCACTAAATAAAAATGAATTACCTAATTGAATAATACTACGAGTATACGTTTTGGTAATTAATCGAAATAATATTTGCTTTTTGGACTATTGGATCGCCAATAGATAAATTCTACATACCATATAATGCACGGTTTAATACAGATGTTTGTAGGCTGTAGCAGTTTGTAACTTCGATGACATAGGGTTCTATATTAAACGCCAGGAGGTGGCCTCCATATAATAAATAATCGTGTAATTTTTCTTCTCATCGTTGTATTATATCATTGTGTACAATTTTTATTTTTACTTCTTTATTTGATAATTTTAATAATAGCATTAGAAGCTAAAGCTAATGAGGCATCTGTTTCTGTAATGCCACCAATACCTAATCCTATTATTTTTATTTTTACTTCTTTATTTGATAATTTTAATAATAGCATTAGAAGCTAAAGCTAATGAGGCATCTGTTTCTGTAATGCCACCAATACCTAATCCTATTATTTTTATTTTTACTTCTTTATCTATTACAATAAGCTAATTTGATAAGTAAATAAAATAAAAATAATGACATGTAAAACCTAGGAAAGAAGCCACCCAGTGGAGGTTACGCATTGTTCCAATATGAATAAAGGTTGTGATTATTATTTCATTTTACTTTTTATTAATTGAACAAAAAAGCCTCAGTTAATAGACTAAAATGAATGGTTAGGATATATTATTATAGATATTATTATAGAGATTATTTATATYATGTGATGTAACATCACTGATGTGTTATATATTATACTCATATTCGGTAATCAACACGAACCTAGAATAAAATATAACAAAATATACAATGCTAGCATAGTGTGGTGACATATTAGCATACTATTGAGTACCCCC